GGCTCCACCCCTGCAGAGGACTGATCCATCCTTCCAAAGGTTAGGGGTTAGGGTGTGTGAGTCCTGCCCAGGTTCTGGTCCACTTTATCTGTCCTGGAGCTCCAACTGTTGCTTCCCTTCAAAATAAATCTCCTGTTTGATCTGTTGATGGACTTTTAACGKTTAAAACACTTAAAATTTGTCAGACGATTTAAGAAAAAAAGATTCAGAAAGCTGCAAACCTGTTGGAATTAAGTCGTCTTTTTTGTATTATTTTTCTGCGCAGCAGGAGCAGCAACACCCCCCGTTTGTTTGACGCGTTCCAGCCGAGGGAACACACGAAGACTCTGTAATGACATTCAGTAACAAGACGAGGCGCTTCCTGCAGCAGCATCACCGAGACACTTTGAATATGGACACTAACAAGCTCCCCTCCACGCCGGTGGTCCTCACATCGATCTGTGGGTGGGTGTGTTGGGTGGGGACGGCGGGGGTGAAGGTATATAAGACAGAAGAGTGGCGTTCAGACACCAACCTGAAGAGACGCAACAAAAACACTGAACCAGAAGAAGCCAGAGAGGACAGAAACAAAGATCTGGTTCAGGAAAGACGTTCTGAAGAACTTCAGCTTCAGCAGCCGAAACTCCAAMATCAGCCGAACTTCTTGTTCTCATCAAAGGCAGGTAAAACATCTGTGTTTTTTTGTTTTGCATTTTCATTAAAAACTGTGCAAACAAAAAAAAAAACTAAAATAAGCAGTTTTACTTAAAACAAACCTTTTGACCATCTGGGTTTGATAAAAATATATCAGAAATTAAACAAAGTGGCTCATTTACTTTGTTTGCTTTGGACTCCAGCCAGTTTCAGGCCAACATGTTATTACAAGAAAAAAAAACAACAAATAAAATCTGACTGAAAAACAAACTTTAAAATAAATTTTACCAGATAAAGTTTATTTTGAGACCTTACTTTTTGAAGGATGTCAGAGTTTCCCGCTCTTCTCCGTACGTCCTTCCTGCTGCTCTGCATTCTGGGTATGACCTCTGTGACCTCCGGCTTCCCTCAGCCTCAGCTCCGTCTCAGGTGACACCAAACCCCGACTCATCTTTTTGATCGCACCCCCCTTCTCGTGAGATCTAACGGGATTGGTTCTCTGACCCCCCCTCCCAGTGGTCCCGATGATCCAGAGGAGGTGAAACGAGACGACTGGGACGTCCTCTTCCCGTCCATTTCTCTTCAYGACTGGAACATCCAGATGATGTTGCCCGGCCTGAGAGCCGCTGCCGACAGCAAGACGGGTCTGATGAGGGAGGCCTGGCTGTTCGGCCCGGAGAGGACCGAGGCCGGGTAAATCCACAGATGGCACCTTCCTGTATGCTCTGCTTCAAGCAGGGGGGGAAAACGCAGATTAAACTTTTTAAAAAAAAGCATTTATGTTTGTGATCTTCTGTTTTCAGCGTGGAGGGTCTCTGGCCCGCGGACTGGGCGTCTGACGGAGCCCGGCTCCTGAAGAGGAACATGGTGGTGGCTGACGACACCGCCTTCAGAGAGAAGAGCAAACTGCTCACCTCCATGGAGAGGCAAAAGTGGCTCAACTCCTACATGCAGAAACTCCTGGTGGTTAATTCCTGATGCTGCGGCCCGTAAAGCCAGCACAAACACTAACCTGATCAGAACAGGAAACAAGCTGCGGACACTCAAAGACATCTGGACAAAAACTGAGATATTTAACCTTCGTTGAAACCTGAAGAGAGTTTGTTTTGCTGAAAGTATTTTTGATGTTATTAATAAATGTGCAAATGATGTTTCTGATGTCTGACRCTTAAATAGTCCATTATTGTCCAGTTTCTCTTCAAAACAGAAAAAAAAGTGACCCATCACATCGGAACAAGGATAAAGTTTAAATGTGATTAATGGAGAAATAGGCAAATATGTTTTGATTAAAACACTTACAAAAATTGAATTTCATCAAAATATAACAATAAATGCCTTATCAATGTTTCATTTGAACGAACTGTGTGAAATATAATCATAAAATGTTTTTGAAGCACTTTTTTTAGTAACAAAATATATAAATATATTGAGAAAAGGCGCCTTTGAATTTTGAGATTTTCCCTGTGAGCTGGCAAAGTTTTTGTTTCTTTCCAGCTGGGAAATGTCAATATTTAAACACTATTTCAGAATTCCTCTTCATAATACAATTAAAAAAATTCCTCATAAAAATTACATAAATTTAGGATTCAGACCAAATATTAATGTATTATTGTAACCAACAAGACAAAGTAGGGCATATCTCTGGTTCTGTTTATGATATCAGAACGATCCAGGTATCAAAATTAAATTTTTTTTATTCTTGGCTTTTAAAGTCAAGAATCTGATTAGGTCATTTGGACTAATTTGACCTTAAAGTGGACATGATGTACTTTTTCTTGCATATTTTTTTGCTAAATTTGGTGCAGTCCAAGTGAAACAGGAAGTGATGTCAAAGGGGAACTCCTAAAAAAAGGGGTAACTCCCTGGTCGTTATAAATCTGACTCTTTATCTGATAATGACTCAAAATAATCTACAGAAACATCTGATTCTCTGCTGTCTGCTGTTAGCCGTCGCAACAACTCATTCAGGCATTGTCCTGATGCATCTCAGTAATCCAGGTAAAAAATCAAAAAGAAAAAAATTGTATAGGTCTTCTGGACGGGTTCTTCTCTAATGAAACGTTTCGTCTCTCCTCCAAGAGACTTCTTCAGTCKGAGAGTTTCAGGCTAAATTCAGGCTTTTAAGCACTGCCCCCATGTGACTGATACATCACATGGCTATTGTTGACACCTAACTAACACTTATTGTTAACAGGAGGTGGAGTGATACTGGCAAAAGCCGCGCTGTAGGAGGGGGACAACTGAAAACAGAGGCCTCCACCTCTGTTTAATGATGGACGGTCTTTCTTCACAAAAATGGCTTCTTTTACTCCTCTCTGCCATTTTTGTGAAGAAAGACCGTCCATCATTAAACAGAGGTGGAGGCCTCCGTTTTCAGTTGTCCCCCTCCTACAGCGCGGCTATTGTCAGTATCACTCCACCCCCTGTTAACAATAAGTGTTAATTAGGTGTCAACGATAGCCATGTGATGTGAGTATCAGTCACATGGAGGCAGGGCTTAAAAGCCTGAATTTTGCCTGAAACTCTCAGACTGAAGAAGTCTCTTGGAGGAGAGACGAAACGTTTCATTAGAGAAGAACCCGTCCAGAAGACCTATACAATTTTTTTTCTTTTTCATTCAGGCAATCCCATTTGAAATCACTTCCTGTTTCTGCTCATGCAAATATCTCAACTGTTCATTTCAGTGTTGTGAAATTCTGTTTGCAATTCATTATTAATGTTATCTCTCCAAATATGCACTCAAATATATCACATAAATTTAATGTCACAGGTACTTTAATCCTCATTTTGTTATGATGGGTCACATATTTCAAAATAAAACCAAACCAGTGAAGAGCAGAACTTTCCACCCCTCAAAGTTATAAAGATTAAGAAAACACGTCTATTTTTGCAGAATACAAAGATCAATAAAGAATAGTCTATAAAGGTATGAACACCAGCTCATCCAAACAGCCGATCAGCTCCTGCAGCTGCGTCCTGTTGGCCAGCCGACGTTTCTCTCGCCTCTGCAGCAGCAAACATTCAGCATGAAGCAGCAGCTCCGCAGCCCGGGACGCTGAGAGCTCGTCTGGGCCCTCGGTCCCGCCGAGGCGCCCCTCTGCTGGGCGTCGGACCGGCTTCTCAGCCCGCAGCCTGGCTCGACACACCTCAGGGAGGGATGGTGATGGAGGCGGCGGGAGGGAGGCGCTTCCTGTTTGTGAGGTCTGAGCTTCCTGAGAGAGGCGATCCGTAACKCTGAGACACACTGTCGGACTCCCGTTAGGTGGTTGTGAGGAGTTTATGATACGAGGATCCATCAAATCCACCACGCTGTCCTGAAAACACAAAAACACATTCAGTGAAGCGTCACATTTCACCACACAGAATTTAATCAAGCCTGAAGACTGAAAAAGTACGAGGAAGTATTAGGGCCACACAACGAGATTTATTTTAAATTAAGAGAACAAAGTCAGAATATTACAACATTAAAGTCGTATGGAAATAAAGCCAGAATATTATGAGAATAAAGTTGTAATA